GGGTGGTGAGGGTACGAATCTCCACGGGGAGATCGTTCCAAAGGGTCGGAGCTACTACCGAGAAGGCTCTCCAGAGTACAGTGACTTTCTTTCACACAACTCAAGATTTGTTACAAGAGTTATTTAATTTTCCTGGCTGAATGAGAAGCTGATATTTCTCCTTGTATAGATATCATCTGGAATGGGGCGTTTCAAGACTTAAGGAGAACATTGCAATGTCTACTCCTTGGGAGCCAATGCTGGAAGGCCTACCCAGCTTGGAGCATTTTTATAATTTTACCCAGCTAAGGGAAGAGAGCATGAGGCAATAGGTAGACAGTGGCTGACATTGCTTCCAGCCAAGCGGCCATAATTCCAGTTTCAAAATGGCAAAGATTTATATAGAATGTCTTTTACACCAGAAACTAGTAGCATCTCCCAAATGTAAATAATGTGTGTCAGTTGTTTTCAATAGCAATATCACTTAGACTTATATACTGCTTTACAGCCCTCTCTAAACGATTTACAGAGTAGCATATTGCACCCAACAATTTGGGTCCTCATTTTACCCACCTTGGAAAGATGGAAGGCTGAGTCAACCTTGAGCCTGGCGAGATTTGAACTGCCAAATTGCAGGCAGCCGGAAGAAATAGCCCGCAGTACTGCACTCTAACCACTGTGCTACCAGGGCTCATAGGCTAGTTCTATTCTTACAGATTTGCATTCTTATTTCTGTATTTTGATTGTCTGAACAGGTGTGGAATTCTCTGGAACAATACTTTTTATATTGTAACCACATATGCTATTATGTTCCATGAAAATTTGTCAAGAGTTCGTCATTAAGATAGCCAGTAATGATAGGAATAGCTGAAAAATAGCTTGGCTATTTATCTTCCATGTAATGTACACTAATTGGGGCAATTTTGAATAATAGTGTTGACTTCAAGTGCAGTAAGAAGGAGCCTTAGCGCAACCTGGATTATCTCCCCAGAACCCAGCAGTAATATCCTGTAGTTCTGCAACAAAATTGTAGGCGGTGTTCTGTAGATGTACTGATGAGGAAATATTATCAGAAAGTAGGAATAGGAAGCCATTATTCTAGAACAGGGGTTTCCAAACGTGGCAATTTTAAGACTTGGGAACTTCAACTCCCAGAATTCCTCATTTTAGAATTTAGTGAAAGATATTTTAGGCCACTAACTATGATTTTATCACTTTTGTAGGAATCTCTTTTACCGATATTATACAGAGAAAAGTCTTCGGATATCCATTTTTTCTCTGAGCCTTTCCTCCCGAAAAAAGAAAAAGAAGACAAGATCCTTGATGGTCAAAAAGCCCAGAGTCCACCAGCATCAATTTCACCAATACGATCACAGCCAGTTGCACTGCCTGAAGCTGTCACACCAATATCACCTGTAAAACCACCGTCAACAGTACCCTTAGAATCAATTTCTCCACCTCTTGCCCCCTTGCCTATTTGTTCACAGCCTTTACCCACCACTGAAGCCTCTGTTACACCTCCAGCAGAGCCACCGGTGTGTTTTCAGCCAATCCCAGCTTTTACTTCTACTCCTTTAGCCAAACTTGCTCTAAAAAGTCAAGATGGGCAGATGGAGAAACTGGAAAGTCCCAACACAACAGAAGAGATTTTGAAAAGGAATAATCTTGTGGAGGAATTCTGGATGAAGAGTGCTGAAATCCGTAGGAGTTTAGGCCTCACTCCTGTCAATAGAAGCAGGGGGTCAGACCCAAACTTTACCTACTCACCCCTAGAATGTGCTCCTCTTAAATTATATAATTCTGACGTGGGGCCAGAAGAAAAGGGAATCCATCCTGTCAAACCACCAAAGGTAATCATGCCAAAGTTGGATAAGGAACAATTCTCCTTGCTGACACCAACCTCCCAATCAGAGAAAGAGCTGAAAAACTCAAAGGATGTGAAAAGAGATCTCTCCAGCAGTTCAGGACTGGGACTTCAGGGTAGTTCATCCAACATGAGGACATTGGCCAGCCAAAGTTTCAACACATCGGATTCCACCATGCTCACTCCTCCGTCTAGCCCTCCTCCGCCACCACCTCAAAACGAAGAACCAGCAACGTTGCGAAGAAAAAGGCACCAGGCGATTTGGCAGAAGGAATCAGAGCCCATACAGACACCTCAGGTGGCACCGGCCAATGAAAGGATCCGACCCACCAGAAGTTCCTCTCAACCACCCAGAGAGGAGGTGAGGAAGTCATTTGTTGAGAGTGTGGATGAAATACCGTTTGCTGACGACGTAGAGGACACTTACGATGACAGAACAGAGGATACCAGCCTGAATGAAAAATACTACACTCCACCTAGCAAGCCAAGGCCCGAGAAGCCTCTTCAACTGCATGGGGTTAAGGGAAATGATAGGTCATCGTCCAGTGAAGGAGGAAAGAGAGGCCTTCCTCAGGTCTCTGCTGAAGCTAAGGAGTTAGCTGAGGAAAGGATGAGGGCCAGGGAGAAGTCTATCAAAAGCCAGGCCTTACGGGACGCGATGGCTAAGCAGCTCAGCAGGATGAAAGATCTGGAGATGACCAGCAGTGCTCTGGCTGCAAAATCGCACAAAGCATCTACAGCACCCTCAAAGACCAAAGAATTCGCTTTAGACCCTTCAAAGCATCCCACTGGCAAAACCAGCCAAGGCCCTACTCTGAAGCACCACGCTAGCAGCGAGAGGTTCTTCCCTCCGTTAACGGACATTAGTGGTCACGATGGGTCTATCACATCGTCCGAAGGCTCCGGCGGGAAGAATAAAAAAAGGTCTTCTCTCTTCTCTCCCCGGAAGAACAAAAAGGAGAAGAAGTCAAAGAATGAAAATAAGCAATCTGACAAATCCAGCAGCGCAGCTGAGGAATCCACAAAGCCCAAATCCCTTTGGAAGTCTGTTTTCTCCGGTTACAAGAAAGACAAGAAGAAAAAGGCAGATGACAAATCTTGCCCCAGCACACCTTCCAGTGGGGCCACGGTGGATTCTGGGAAGCATAAGGCATCTCCATTGGTTAGAGCAGCAGGTATAATACCAATGCCTATATATTAGAATGATTTCACTTATTTTGTGCAAATACAATCTTAGCTGCAGTTATTACGTGAATGATCAAATATACATTTTCTTTACTGTAAGTTTCTGGTAAAATCCCCAACAAAAATAATTCAGGTTTCAGATCAAGATGCTGTTGCATCATCTTTTCCAACCATGTTCATATTTTTATCTTTTTATTATTATTATTATTATTTTACACATGTCCACCACATATGATAATACGACCCCGGTGTCTGGTGGCATTTCCAACGTTTTGCTGGTTTATCTTTAAAACATCTTTGCCAAACTTGCTGGTGGAAAATGCCATCTGTAAAACATCTTGTACAAATTATCTTTATATGCAGTCGACATTGTTAACTTATAGTTTCTACGTCATAATTGCTGCCATTTTTCTGTCTTTTGCTCATGCTATCATTGTTTCCTTCACTTCTTCTAGTTTAATACGCAGTAAATAACTATGCAATTTTTAACACCGTCTCATCTGTTCCTGTTAATATCATATCCAATTCTGTCACTTCCTTATAAAAACCACATAATTTTGCACTTTTTTCATGTCTAGATTGTATTTGCAGTTTCATATACCAAACCATACTTGTTTTTTCAATTCTTGTTTAGTTTTGAGCTCACCATAGCCAGAAACTCTTCCAGGCATTGTGCACATCATCAAATTTGCTCCAGCATGTTAATTTGCTGTAACCCTTTATGTATTTAGTTGTAGCTGAAAAGGAATTATAAGTATGAGAGGTCAGACTAAGAGCAAACAGTCCTTTTTTTAAAGGCAGGTATCTTTAGATTTCTTCCAGATATTGGAGAGTTCTGTATCTAACCGTAGCTAGATTAGACTGAAGGAGAGCGATTGACCCAGTGGTCTGATGGAAAGTTGAATATTGTCTATTTAATTCTTGTCTGGTAATTTTGTCTTCTCGCATCTATGCATTTAGGGATGCGGTGGCTCAGTGGCTAGGACACTGAGCTTGTCGATCAGAAAGGTCGGCAGTTTGGCAGTTTAAATCCCTAGCACCACGTAACGGAGTAAGCTCCCGTTACTTGTCCCAGCTTTTGCCACCTAGCAGTTCGAAAGCATGTAAAAATGCAAGTAGAAAAATAGGAACCATCTTTGGTGGAAAGGTAACAGCGTTCCGTGTGCCTTTGGCATTTAGTCATGCCAGCCACATGACTACAGAGACATCTTCGGATAGCGCTGGCTTTTTGGCTTTGAAACAGAGATGAGTACCGCCCCCCTAGAGTCGGGAACGACTAGCACATATGTCCAAGGGGAACCTTTTCCTTTTATGTATGCATTTACTTATTTATTGCATTTATCCCAGTCTGTAAGACACCCAACTCTAGTCCAGAAATGACAGCAGTCATTTAAAAAAATATAACATCAAGAAGGGTTCCACCAGCCATTTTAACCCAACACTTGAAGAATGGTTAAGTTTAGGGCCTGATTGAGGCGGGGTATGAATATGAATCCCAAGAGGGGTGGGGAGAAGGAATGATATTAACAGAAAAACCCAATTTCCTGGATCCTGGATTAGGCCGCATGGTTTAATCAACAGGATCTGGAAGTGCTGACTTTTTCAGACTGTGTGGGATGAGCAGATGTTACAGAGAATAGGGAGCTCCTCAGGGTTTTTTTTTTAGAAGTAGTTGACTGCAGATCACTTATCCCCAGTTTCAACTACGCTGCCTGGAGAGATACTAGGAGTCAAAAAAAGTTAGGTTATTGTGTTGGGAAAAGGAGTATGATTGCTTCTAGAGCACTTTTCATTGACTGGGACCTGAGATGTTAGAAAAGGCCGAGTTGAATCACTGTTGCAGGAAGGGATGATATGGTCCTTTTTCAAACATAAGTGTTTGTCTGATCATTTAGTTCCTTATCAATTGTTGTTGTTCTTAATTGCGAAGTCGTGTCCCACCCATCACGACCCCATGGACAATGTTCCTCCAGGCCTTCTTGTCCTCTACCATCCTCTGGAGTCTATTTAAGTTCACGTCAACGGCTTTAGTGACTCCATCCAGCCACCTCATTCTCTGTCGTTCCCTTCTTCTTTTGCCCTCAATTGTTCCCAGAATTAGGCTCTTCTCCAGTGAGTCCTTTCTTCTCATTAGGTGGCCAAGGTACTTGAGTTTCATCTCCAGGATCTGGCCTTCTAAAGAGCAATCAGGGTTGACCTCCTCTAGGACTGACCAGTTTGATCGCCTTGCAGTTCAAGGGACTCGCAGGAGTCTTCTCCAGCCTCAATTTTACAAAGGCCTCAATTTTACTATGTTTATGTATCAATTTTACTATGACGCAAACTGCTCCTTCAGCTTTGCCAATTGACACGTTTCTTTATTATCTCAGATCTGCAACTGCGCCAACACTTAAGCTTCTCCGAGGATTCTGATCTCTCCAATGAAGATGTCTTAGAACGTTCCTCACAGAGATCTAAACGAGAGGTAAGTTGATAACTCCTGTGATCATTTGAAGCCAAGACGAGTCACAAAAGCTTCATAAAGACCATGAAACTTTTGTGGGTCATTTTAATATTTTCCTGTGATTTTGAATCTCTGGATCCAATAAAAATGAGAAAAGTCCTCAGATTATAACTATAATTGGAACTAGGATGTCTCTTACTAAGCAAGGCAGTTGGTAAGTGAGCCACAGCCAATTTTACAATCCTTTTTGGCACAATTGTTAGGCAAATCATGGAAGTTGTTAAGTGAATCATGTGGTCATTAAGTGAATCCGACTTCCCCCACTGATTTCACTTGTTGGAAGCCAGCTTGAAAAGTCAGAAATTGTGATCACATGACCCCGAGATGCTGCAACCGTCATAAATATATGCCGGTTGCTGATTGGCCAAATTCTGATCATGTGACTGTGGAGATGCGGCTGATTGAAATAGCAATTGGGTTTATTTGCAAACGGAGCTATTTGCAAATAGTTCTTTTTGCTACTCAAACCTACTTGTGACTGAGCTTGGTAACAGACTTGCTTTTACCCAGGCAATTCTGGTGGGGTGGAAGATAGTGAAGATAAAATCACTGGTTCAAATCTCAATCTCTTTTCATGTTCATTGCCTGAATTTTTCTTCTGGATTAACTTCTCTGTAACCATTCTTTTTGAATTGCTCTTTTTATTTGATTTTTTAAAATTTACCACTTTTATGTTTGCCGTGTAGCTTTCAGGTTCTACATTGCATGTGGGATTTTTTTTTTTAAGGATATATTTGCAATACTGGAAAGGGATAAAGATTGTAGTTTCCTATGAGTTCCAATGTAATCAATCATCTTGAAATCTAAACCTTGCTACTTAAGGCAGGTTGGGCCTAAGTGTAAGAGAGAGAACAATTTCCCCCTAAAAAAACAACAACCAGTCAAAGTGAATATTGTGTTTTTCCTGCCTAGTTTGCATAACACAGAGATATTCCAGATGTCATAATCCCTAAAGAGCAATGGTGCTAGGAATTACAGCATTAAGATTTAAATTGAAAGTGGGAGCTAGAAAAAAATTTTTGGCTAGCATTCAGAGTTAAATCTTCCATAGATTAGCTAATCCACTCTAAGTGTTTCGATAAGAGTACATTTGCAGGCATTTCTTAGAGTAGTTAAAGGATCAGGCTGACAGTAACAACAGATGGTTTAACTCCTACTTTAAACATAATTGTCAAAGACCTTTTGCTGTACCCCTCTCCTTTCATAATATTGGCATGGGATATTTTAACTTCAACAATGCGGAATAGATGCGCTGATAATGTAGTTTTGCAGGACTGTCCTTGAATCATAGGGTGTGTGATTTGGAAGGAAACTTGAAAGTCACATAATCCCTTACTCTACCACTGAATATTAAAAAGCAAGAGCCCGGAGGTTACATAAATCTTACACAGAGCCTTGGTCTAAGGCAGACTGAGTGTGTTTATATCTTAGTGCAGGGTTGGGCAACAACTATAATCTCTTTACAGCTTGTGGATTTCAACTCTCAGAATTCCTGAGTCAGCCACGGGTAAAGGGGCTGTAATTGCCCATCTTTGTTTTAGTGGAAGACCCGAACTGCAAAAATAATTGTTTTCCAAGTGATGAAGAAACAAAATAAGCAAGGAAACTGATACAGGTATCCTTCACAGTGTGAAATCACTACAACGATATTCCTAGAAAGGAAACATACTAAGTTATGACCAGGTACAAAACAGTACAAAAATTAAAATCCAATTCTTAAGAATACTACATAAGAGATACAAAGAATGACAGAGACAATACTATACAAAGACAAATGTGAACCTGGTTATAAAATCAGTTCAGTCTAAATTTTTATTCTAACTGTCAAGTTTCTAGAGAACATTGTCACATCTGGGAAACAAAACAGTCAGCGTGATTTTCCAAGCAGAAAAAGTTATTCCTGCATGACTTCTAGACGAAGGCTCAGCTGCCTGCGATGTGGTGACTAAAAGCATTAGTGATTCGCATTGGGAAAAACGTGGGATCTGATATATAATATTGAAAGCATCTGCTAAATGAATATATCATTTCCTGCAGCTTGTATTCCTGAATCAGTTATTGTCCGTATATGTACGTGCTGCTGTCATGAAACATTTAAGTCATGTAGTTGCAGATTGCTCAAAAATATGTTGCCTTTTCCTAAATTTTATCTAAAAGTCACCCAACCTTTCTCATTTCCCTGTTCGTGTTTTTGTGTTAAGTTTTAGAAAAAGTGAATGTGTTGTCAAAAATATTGAAGGGCAGGCATTCAGAATAAGAAATCATTTTGTGTTTTGTGCAGTCCTGTCAGTGTTTTAGTGTACTTACCCAAATAAAGTGTTAGATCCAAAATTCAATATCCCAAGCCCTTAAATTCTAACATTGGAGCTTAGGAAAGAGATTGTCTTTTGCACATTTACATAAAATTTGCAAATGTTAAAAATGCAAATGCAACTAATAACTTTGGGACCTCAAGATTATTTTATTTTACTTTTATTTTTTTTGTAAAGCTATATGCTTCCATTGCTTATTTCCAAATTCTGAAGTATTTGTATTCTGTAGTTCCATGTAATATTTCAAGCAGCTTTTTTGTTTATTGTTGTCTTTCTGTATTGAGTGTTACAATGTTGAATTGATCTTGCTCCATTTTGTGTATTTCTTTTATTTTTGCCTTTGCTATTCCTTCCCCTTCCTCCCCATTTTTAAAGTCGATTTACATACCACACGCCTTGGCATTCGAGAGATCATATGCATCAAAGGTAGTGTCTCCATTCTCATTGACTGGCCATTGTTGCATGCATTCCTGTTATTAACCTACCAGCTTCCTAGCCTATATCTCCTCTGCTTTTTCCTGCCTTCATTTATACTAATACAACCTGAGATTGTGCATGTATGCAGCAATTAACAACATCAACACAACAGATCATCTTCAAGTCCCAAAATATCAAGTCCATTTGAAGTGTATGTAATATCTTCATTGAAGACCCAGCTGGGAAAACTGATGATCTTAATCACAGTTTTTGGTGGTGCTCTACAAAGTGGGTTGGTGGGTTGGATATTTGCCCTGTACCTAAAAGAGGGATTGATCTAAATATTACCACATTTTATTCTCACAACAACTCTTCAGAGGTAGGTTAATGATGGGTTCAGAGTCAACCAGGGAATTGTCTTTGAATCATGATCTTCATCTTGCAGCCCAGTCACTATACCATGTTGAGTCTTGATTGATGAGTATCTACTGTGTCCTTGTGTGGGTAAGAAAGACTTTTAAGAGACATAGATCTTGGCCTATCTTGGTATATAAGAAGCAATTATGGTTGTTGGTTTGAGTCATGAAGGAAAAAATGAAATAAGCAGTTCATTAATTTGTTTATCTTATGCCAATTACCTGAGCTATACATTTTCTCAAAATTATTAATTTAACTATGAAACTGATTATCAGACTGATGTAGCAGAAGGTTGCTTAAAGCAGCTTTCATCAAACTCCAAAAAGTATTGTAATTGGAGCTTCCCAAATTTGGGTCTTTTCTGTTTCTAATTGGAGAAGACTAACTTAAAGGGATACAGAAGAGATTTCTTGTTGTATGACATCTTCTCAGCTCTAATGAACTCTGGTGGTGACTTTAATGGTATTCCTTCTCTTCCTTCATCTTATCTGTTGAGGGATTCAGCTACAATGATCTAGCTCATTTTTGTTTAATGAGGTGAAAATGTGGGAAACATGAAAACAGCCTTAAGCTGTTTATGTAAATGAAGATCTGCTCTCTTAATATAAAAGGGGATACAGTAGATGGTCATAAAGCATATATTACAATTACGATGGATATCTCTATTAGATGCAGGAATTTTTAAACTCTTAATTCTTATATGAGTCACATAACCAACTTGAAAATAAGTATGTGCATTAATCACTTAGATGACATATTTTAGACGCTGGATTTCGTATTTTAAAAACAGATGAATCATAGCATTATAGGATAATTAACATTAAAATATATATACAGCTAAGGTGTAAATGCAGCTACTGCTGGTGTATCTTTTAAGATTATTGTTAATGAAATTCCATTATATCTTTATTGACATGAAATTTTCCCTCAAAAATTGACCTGATAGGCAAACATTTTCTAATAAAGGAGAATATTTGCAGCTTAGGGTTGAAATGAAGGGTCCTTGGTGCTCCCTAATGTTTCCTAATTTGGGTAATGAAACATCTGCTAGAAAACAACCAGGCTCAGAGAGCACCAAGGACACCATTTTCTAGCTTACCTTCTCCCTAGTACTTTGGTTGAAGACATGTTGGAAGTTTATTTGTTTTAAATATTATGATGGAGAATTCAGCCCTTTTCCTGTGGTGTGGTTTCCAAGTGAATCACAAAATGCATAATACATCTCTTCTCATTACGTTGAGAGTGCAAGTTGGGTCATTCAAAGGATTTTTGAAACGTGAATTGAATTGTAGACTACAGGTAGTCCTCAACTTACAACAGTTCGCTTAGTGACCATTCGAAGTTACAACGGCATTGAAAAAAGTGACTTATGACCATTTTTCACATTTACGACGGTTGCAGCATCCCCATAGTCATGTGATTTACATTTGTATGCTTAACAGTTGCAGTGTCCCAGGATCATGTGATCACCGTTTACAACCTTCTGATAAGCAATGGGAAAACCAGATTCACTTAACGGCCATGTTACTAATTTAATAACTGCAGTGATTCACTTAACAAATGTAGCAAGAAAAGTCATGAAATAGGGCAGAATTCACTGAACAAATTTCTCATTTAGCAATATAATTTTTTGGCTCAGTTGTGGTTGCATTTTGAGGACTACCTGTAAAGTCTTAGTACCAGCATTAAAAAGGCTCTTGGCCACACACCATACTTTGCTCAGATATATTTAGCCCAGTTCTTCACATGTTTGCTCAACAGATCCACAAGGAATTACATAGGACCATGATGGCGAACCTATGGCACGTGTGCCAGAGGTAGCACATGGAGCTATGTTGCCTGGCATGTGCGACATCACCCGTTCCTCTTCTGGGTTTCTAGCACGCATGCCCTCACAACGATCAGCTGGCCTTCGTCCATGCGGCAGTGCGGGAAATTGGAAGAGCTTCCATTTTCCAGTGTGATCATACGCTCCAGCCAGTTGATCATCGCGTGCGCTAGTAACCGGAAGACTAGCTGTCCAGCACGCATGCGCGCAGCAGAAACAAAAGTTCATTTTCTGGCACGCGCATGCCCCCTGGGCAATTCATCTTCCTGGTTGCAGTCCTGACGAGCGTGCGTGTCCGTGCACGCTCCCTTTTTGGCACTTGGAAACACTCGCCATCATTGACATAGGATTTTATCTGTAGTAATAACACGAATGAAATCAAGAGCATCTCTCATATATGTAACAGGCCATAAGGAGCATTAAGAAGAAGACAGACATAACTTGAAGCTCTCTGTCAAAATCACTGCTTTGCATCTGGCTCAAGCCTCTTCCTTCCCCTCTTAGAACTCCACCAAAGCTCAAAGCTCACCTGTTGTGCCAGTAGCACGCATCCACCTGGGAGGACAACTTGCTTGCTGAACAGAAAGCACAGCAAGTGGCCCAGTGCTCTAGAAAAGTAGAATGCTTCAATCCCAGAATCTAGGATTCAAGTTTCAGCAAGGGATTAGACCAGGGGTCCCCAAACTTGGCAACTTTAAGGCTTGTGGACTTCAACTCCCAGAATTCTCCAGCCTGGCTGGAGAATTCTGGGAGTTGAAGTCCAAAAGCCTTAAAGTTGCCAAGTTGGAAGATCACTGGATGAGACTATGTTGCTATTTCTTGTTACAGCACAAAGCGTACACGGAGGAGGAACTCAACGCCAAACTGACCAGGCGAGTACAGAAAGCCGCTCGTCGTCAAGCCAAACAAGAAGAACTGAAGAGGTTACACAGAGCCCAGGTACAGCTATCCCTTTTCTGGAAAATGCTTTGCCTGAATGCGTAAGAAAGAAAACACCTTGGGCCTAAATCTCTCTGCATTGTGCATCAGAAAATATACCTCAGATTTATGAAACCCTTAAAGAAATAATACCTCAGGTTTATAAAACCTTTAAAGAAAATATACCTCAGATTTATGAAACCTTTAAAGAAAATATACTTTAGATTTATAAAACCCTTAAAGAAAATATACCTCAGATTTATGAAACCTTTAAAGAAAATATACCTTAGATTTATAAAACCCTTAAAGAAAATATACCTCAAATTTCTGAAACCCTTAAAGAAAATATACCTCAGATTTATAAAACCTTTAAAGAAAATATACCTCAGATTTATAAAACCTTTAAAGAAAATATATCTTAGATTTATAAAACCCTTAAAGAAAATATACCTCTGATTTATGAAATCCTTAAAGAAAATATTCCTCAGATTTATGAAACCCTTAAAGAAAATATACCTCAGATTTATGAAACCCTTAAAGAAAATATACCTCAGATTTATAAAACCTTTAAAGAAAATATACCTCAGATTTATAAAACCTTTAAAGAAAATATACCTCTGATTTATAAAACCCTTAAAGAAAGTATACCTTAGATTTATGAAACCCTTAAAGGAAATATACCTCAGATTTATAAAACCTTTAAAGAAAATATACCTCAGATTTATAAAACCTTTAAAGAAAATATATCTCAGATTTATAAAACC